GCAAAAGTCCTATTGTCTATGACAACATGAAACTAAGGGACTTCCAGAATAAAGTAAAAATACTATCATGGATTTACTCTACAGCAACCCTAAACAACCAAATATCTGTGGTCTTAAAGTCTGTTTGTGCATATGGTTGGACACTTGGAGAAGGAGTCATACTCCTCATCTTTCCTCATTGTCCATACCAAGTCTATTCTCTTTACATCCTTGCCTTGAATCCAATACTACACATGATATTCCCCACCATAGGCCCATATTTGTGACAAACAAGCTCTAGATGCCAATTTGACCTTACTGGAGATGAGCTCACTGTATAGGAGCAATACTGCTTGGGATTGTTAAAGGAACCCTGCCAGCCTGAAGAAAAAGGGTTGTGGATTAACTGTAGAGACACTATAATCTGGGGAAGTAGGCCTAAGCCTTTGTAAAGTGATTAACCTACTTGTCCACAAATCCCTTTGGCATAGCAATCATAAGAATAGAACAGCTATCCTGAAAACACTGAGGTTTGACCCTTAGAGAAGAAAGAAGAAATAAATGATAATATAAACTAGAATCCACATTGATGAGTTTCTACTCATCCTTCCATTATTTACATTCATATGCCTTTTTTAACACCATACTAGACTAAACTGGTTTAGGACCCTTAGCTTGAGAAACCAAACACACCTACAACAAAACAAGCAGGTGAAAGAAGAACATCCTACCAATGAGGAGCCTGGATAGCTCCAACAGTTCACAAACAGATAGCTCAACAAAGATGGAAAACTCCTAAAGGATCAAACAACATAAGTTAGTCTTCCTCCCAGAAAATGAAGTCATATTCCAGAAAGTGCATCCAGTTGATACATTGTTGGATCAAGAAAGCAAATCATATATAGAATAGTGATGAAACATATAACGTGTTGTCCTACTAGGTGTTAGGACATAGAAAGGGGGTATTGTTATAATTAGGCTCATCAGGCCCTTGAAGTAGTCTATTCTAATAACAATCATCACAACCACTAGGTGGCCTCATAGCATGAGGTGTATATCATGGTATAGGGTAATATCCTTGGTTATCCACTTCCAGTGGACACCACTGTCACTGGTCAAGTATCACAGGCTATATTGAAGATAGCTGACACAGGCTTACACATATAGACTTATAGAAATGGAATGGAATTTCTTATTCTCCTGGTTGGAAAAAGACAAGTGGAGAAGCAAAAGTAATGCTGAGAGAGAGTAGCAGCTTAGAGAATATATGGAGGATACATATGGCATTCTCACACCCTTCCCAAAGTAGTATAAGAGGCCTATAGAATAGGCTAATGATCTTTAGTCTATTCTCTTTGTTTAATAGTAGTCCCTAAACTACTGTCTTCACTCAAGGATAGTCTCCATACTATCCACATCTGCAATACTATCTGCTCCTGTGCTATATGTACAGTCAAGACCTTTGTTCATTCTTCCTTATTGAGTGATCTAGGGAAGAACCTCCTACTCTTGAGATTATGGAATGAGCAGTTCATAACAGTTGGAGGTAATCTTAATATGTTTAGTACACATGTTTCCTGCATGACAGACAAATATATCATTCTGGCACCACATACTAACATGACCATCTTTTCCATAGCCCAATAGATAAAGGAAAATACCAAGTTTAAGCATCTTCTATATAATAAGGCAATGGACAATGCAGATAGTACTGAAAATTGTAATATCAATGGCAATGATTGTGTGCTATATAAGACAATATTGACCACTGCATAGATAGACAAGGTCTGTAAGGCTGCACATAGCATATCCCTAAGTCCAACCTGCATTTTGTGTCCTGTATTAACTAGTAGCGGGTATTAGCTGACAATAATAAGGTGCTGAGGTCTTCACAGCCTCTTATAGCAGCTACTAAGCTGCCAACAGAGTGGCTAGGTATTGAACTAATAGGTTTATTATATAACTGCAGGCATATAGCAGGGTCCCTAGGCTATCTGAATGATGATTGTCTAATGGGTAAATACTATTGCTTTTTGTTGTGCTTATGCAAAAAAGTATTTATTACTATTGATCTTATCCTTGAAAAGATGGAGAGGGTGATTCTTGATGATAGGATGGTGACTATATGCAATAGGGCTGTCTTCTCCAATCCAACAGAAAACTTCTAATGGATTCCAAGAGAGGACTCAATAGGCAGTGAGTCCTTGATATATAGTAGCAATGTGTGATTGAGTAAGGCTTTGAGATAAGTCTAGGGCTTCATTGGAATAAGTATAATACTTTGGATCTGGCAAAGTTTGTGATGCATGAGCTAGGAAGGTAGCCAGATGCTAGGTGCAGTGCAGAGATCAAGTTGTATACAAAGTGAATAAGCTAAGCTTCTTAGAAGCTCATCTCAGCTATTTATGCATACAAGCTATTTAGGGCCAGATCCAAATCTGGTCTACGCTTCTAAATACTAAATAAGCTAAATGATCAAGATATGTCATCTACTGTCTATACTTTATCCTAACATAGTAAGTATATCAAATATCTGTCCATATTAGTAAGCATTAGAAACCAATCATAATCAGTATAAGTGCTTAAGCCAAAGCTTGTAAATAAGTCATATACTGTAAGTGTTCATATATAAGCATGTCAATAAGTACTAAGTCTGATTAATAATATGAGTACATATTATGAGCATACCACATGATAATCCCTTGTGATCTCATGTGAAGCACATGTTAGAACATGGTTCTAATACTAGGGGCATTAATGCACATTCTTCTCTTTTTGTGTCCCTTATAAAGGTAGCTGGAAAGTTAGCAAAAGAGTTATAAGACAATGGTACAGGCATATATAAAGGAGAGTAATGTGCTAAAATAGCATAGAATGTGCCATATCTTTACCTTCTTATTAATAGAGCAGTATTACTTAATATTTTTTGCTACTAATTAAAGACTTCTTGGTATGGAATTAGTGCTAATATCATGAAACTAGAAACTATCTTTTTAGCCATAGAAAGAGGTGGTTCCCAATTTAGAAATCCAATCCAATGCTTACAATGTGTTGCTCCCAATTAGAAAATCAGACACTTTTAGATGCCATTAATACTTTTAGATACTTTTAGACACTATTAGATATAATCCAGAGCTAATACAAGGGGGTGGTTTTCTAGATGCAGAAATGCCTACCTACATATTGTATATTAGCAAATCAGCAACAAAGAGGAGACTAGTGGTGACAATAATGTGGGAGAGTTAAAAGAAAGATGCACAGGATTAAGAGGAAGGAAATGGTAAGCAAGCTGCATGTTAATAGAGAGTGCATCCAGGTTTGCAATATCTGTGCCTTTTAAGTGCACCTATTTGCCATGGTAAGCCTGTGTCTCTAACTATCAGAGAGCCTTCGACTAATGGTGGCAGGAGTATATGGTGTTTCAAGAGAAAGCAATTTGCATGGCACATGTAGACTGTTATGGTCTCTAGATAGCACTACCCATTATCTATATTCTATAGCTACATTTACTCATCTATCCCTATTTACCAACTTCAAGATCCTCCATCTCAACAATCCATAGCTCAGAAAGTGTTCAGCTAACCTATTAGGTTTACTAAGACCTTATAGTGCACAGCATGTCTATACCATATCATGTGAGTCATTTTGTGTTTATTCTTTTCTCAAAGGGGGCTGAACACTTACTTGAGACCAGATAGATACACAAAGTGCACATCCATGAGAAAATTGTGTATTACACTAGTGTATTTGCATTTGCCAATGGCCTTGAACAAGTATGAAAAAAGTCTCAATCCTTCTGATGTCACCAGCATTAATGGCAAATGCCGATTCTTTATACAGGAGCATGTATTGATGCAGCAGCAGAACATTTTTGTGTTGCTAATCACAAAGTGCTCCAACTTATGCACACAACTTGTAGATATCAATGCTCTTGCCTGTGACATACTCACTCACCAGTTTGTAAAACAATTTTTAAAGATCTCTAAATAATAGTTGTGACCATGTAAAGTCCTCCAGAGTCACCTAGTCTTTTTTTTCTTTCCACAATTCAACTCTCCAGCAATCTAAATAAAGCAGTCCCTACATAAGCAATAATTTTATACATGCAATAGAAGCTAGGGTTTGAGGCAATCTTCCCAGTTTCTTGTGGATGGAGAATTCCTATGAAACTTTGGAGTAAGATCATGTTATGTTCCCTTTAGCTGAATAAAGATCCTCCATATCATATCAATAGCAGCCATCTTTAGGTAAAAGAACCCCAATATGAAGATTGTGAACTAGAACCTACACCAAGATGTGTCCTTGATGGCATGTTCTGCAAGCAAGGACTTAACACAATCTCATGTGCCCAGGTCTCCTTGAATAAGAATCACATATTGTGTCATATTATGCACATTATGCACAAGAAGGTTCTTCAGTACTTCAAGATATGCTCACTTAGTACCATCTTTATACAAGTTAGTTCCTTTTTTGGTGTCATATTCCATGTCATTGGCAGGATCTCCAACACCTCCCTAACAAAGGAGGTTTATTATTACTTTGATATTACTATCCACTATTAACTAATTAATGTCCATTGCCTTCATAGGGATATGATTGAGCTTTGTAATGGATATTTGGTCTATTATATCTAGGAGACCAGGGATTCTATGATACTGATAGAAGTATTTAGGACTATCATGGACCAGGTTGTGCAAAAATCACCATGCATTATACTAGCCTTGTCTGCTTATACTGGAGATCTAATCTTCATTATTGGCTTGAAGAAGTATGAGGTCATAGAATAAGGGATTTGGTGCTAATGACACATTCAGAACCATATCATTCAACTTTGAGTACTGCTACAGAAGCTCTGAGCACTGTAAATGCTTGAGCTTGACTCCATGCTAGAGAGGAAAGAGCAGACTAGAAGTAAGGTATGTCAAAGTGTCCTCAGATTGCTCTATTATTGACAGTGATCTTTTGAACTTGATATCAAAGTTATCATAGGCATACAATGCCACAAGTGACTGGCCAACTTCTTAAATATACTGATGGGCTTTTTGTGAAAGTGAGTGAATGGCATTACAAATGGAGCCCATTGAGATTAAGAGTCCAAGTCTAGTGATTATCTTGACAATCTTTTTAGGTATGTTGTATAAGTGCAAAGATATTACAATGATGCTCTGGAAAGTATTGTAGTGCTGGTTGCATGATTATATTAGAATACTAATAGTCAATACCTATTTCTAATTGAAAGGTCAGTCAAGGTTATATGCTTCTAGGATAAGCATCTATTTACCAGAACAGAGTCTCATGTAGCAGTGCTTTATTGGCAGTAGTCTTATTAGGATCCAATTCTATTTCAGTAGCTTTATCTTTGCTTGTGTTCAAGAGTTCATTTTGGTAGATCATGTTGTCATCTTCAGCATTATTGTGAGGAATATCACCACCTACTGGCAAGCACTTCAAATCACTGTGTTGTGTGGCATTGGTAGTAAGCATAGCACCTAAAAGATCCTATATTTATAGAGCCTAAGCATGAATATCTTTTGCTAAATTATGAATATGGAACTCCTGGATCTGTGCAGGGGATGAATGGATGGCACTAAAGTGTTATTCATTTCCTTCTGCCAAGAGTTCTCCAATTCTCTTTGCATAGACTTTGGCAGAAGTTTTACATATCTAGTGTCTGATTTATTCATAATGATAAGGATATAAAAAGAGACTGGAAAGGATTTTGCTAATATCTTGGCTAACATGCTGATAGGTAAGATAGTTAGAATAGATAGGGCTTTGTAGAAGGAATAGTAGTAATTCTAAGAGATTGAACTAATATGATTCAAGAGTTTGTTAAATAGCATCTAAATATGGATGTAGACCCATTTTGATAGAAGGTAAGATTACTATGATGTAATGCAATGCACTACACCACAACATTCTATTTGCTCTTGATAAACAAAAGAATAAAAAGTATTTTTTATAAAATAGTTTTAGGCTTTGAATTTGAATAGCTAGCACTATGGGTGGTGGTTATTTACCAATTTTTTGTGCCAGCTGTTGGTAAGAGGTTAGCAAGACAAGTTTAGAAGGGTGTTTTTGAAAAGTATTCAAGTACATGATTTTCAAGTAAGCAGCACATGTCATTTATAGTCACCTACTCCCTCTTACCTTTAGATAGGCCTATAGAAAGAAGTGGTTTCTGATTTGGAAATCCAATCCAATGCTCACAATGTATTGCTTCCAATTAGAAAATTAGATACTTTTAAATGCTATTGACACTATTTGACACTATTAGATATAATCCAGAGTTAAAAAGGATGGTTTTACAAATACAATTGATATGGATCCTAATAGATCTGAATGGTTTTCAATAGATTAAAATAGATTAAAATAGGTTCACATAAATTTAAAAAAGCCCAGTTTTTATTTTTCAAAATAAAACCTCAGATAATATATAAACAAACCTGAATTTATGCCATTTGATCTTTTTTGATCTGCCTATAAGATTTAAAAAGGAAAAGTTTCAATCTTATTTATATAGATTTGCCTATATCTACTTTCATTTGCCTTAACTGACTTTTGACTAGGATTCAACCCTAAACCCAATAAAAAGTATTCAGTATTATATGAAAGTTACAATATTGGTAGTTTTACATCCACCTAGTACACTATTAGTATTGTAGACTGCTCATTTGGTAACCCCAAGAGTAAGAGGTTCTTCCCTAGGTTGCTCATGAAGGAAGAGTGGAACAATAGTCTCGATTGTAAGCACAGCATAGGAGCTAGATGTATATTGCAGTGATGGCAATAAAAATGAAGACTGCAGTATAAATGTTACAATAGAATAAGGAGTGCAGTAGGGAGAATGCATAATACAAAGAGAATAGACTAAAGAACCTTAGCCTATTCTATGGGCCTTTTATACTACTTTAGGAAAGAGCATAAGAATCCCATATATATATACGATAGGTATTTTCCAAGTCATTACTCTCTCTAAGAATGACTTACTCTTGATTCTTTGCTTGTCTCCTTCTGACTAGGAGGACAAGGAGCTCTATACCCATGTGTGAGTAGTATGTAAGGCAGGAGGAAATGCCTGTTACAATAGGCTTATGATACTCAACCTGTGACAAATAGTCCACTGGGAGTGGATGACTAAAGATATTATCTGTACCTTAGTATATACCTTAGGGTATGAGGCTACCTGGTAATTGTGATGATCATATTGGTATAGACTGCCATAAAGTCCTAATAAGTTGTGATCATGATAATACCCCCTTTCTACATCCTATTCACCTGGTAGGACAGCACCATGCACTTCATTGCTATTCCATATATGATTTGCTTTCTTGACCCAATAATATATTGACCAGATGTGTCTTCTGGGATATGACTGCATTTTTTGGGAGAAAGACCAACTTATGTCATTTGATCCTCTAGGAGTTTTCCATCTCCATTAAGCTGTTTGTTTATTGACTGTTGGGGCATTCCAAACCCCTCATTTATAGGATGTTGTTCCTCCACCCATTGATTTGTTTCACTACTGGTTCCTGCCTAGTGGTCTTACTCCAGTTTGCCCTGGAATGACATCAAGAAAGGTGTATGAATGCAAATGGTAGATGGATGAGTAGAAACTCAAGCTTATGGGTTGTAGTTCATGTCATCAATTTCTTTTTCTTCCTTTTCCAAGGGCCAAACCTTAGTATTTCTGGGATAGTCATCTATCCCCATGATTGTTGGTTTCTCTTGATAGCAAGTGGTGTCTATGGACAAGTAGGTTGATCATTTTACAAAGGCTTGGGCCTACTTCTCCGGACTACCAGCATGTCATCCCAAGCAGTATTGCTCTCATATGGTAAGCTCATCTCCAGTTGAGGTCCTATCCAATCCCAAACAGTATCACTCCTATACAGTTAGCTCATTTCCGGTAAGGTAGTATCAGCATCCAGAGTTTGTTTGTCACAAATATGGGCCTATGGTAGGAAATACCATATGTAGTGTTGGGTTCAAGGCAAGGATATGAAGAGAATCAGACTAAAAGGGCGCAGTAAGGAGATAGGAGGAATCTGACTCCTTCTCCAAGACTGCCCATTTGCATGCACAAATAGACATCAAGACCATAGCTGATTTATTTGTTGGGTCCACAAGATATATCCACAATGGTAGTTTAAATGTCATTCCAGACATTTACTAGTTTAACATCATGGCAGACATCTATAGTTTAGAATTATTGCAGACCACATTAGGGCACCCTGTGCTGCCCAATAGTTTACATTATTTAAGGTCGTTTTGGACCTTCTTTAATATCAACATAGACAATCTATAAGAGAAGATGTTTTTACATGCCAGAATATTTGTCGGTGATGTGCATAGGGCCCTAGACCAGACTTTGCCTTCCCAAATTCCACTAAGGCATAATAAGAATGGTCTATACTATATTAAACCGGATAACTTATAACACCTCAAGATTATGGGGCCGCTTAGTTTAACACCATGAGGTAGGCGACTGCTATCATCTGACTGTTATCCTTGAGTCACAATAGGCATTGCCCTCCAAGGATAAGGATAGTTTATCATCATCTCAGATGTTTGATCAACATATTTTTGTCAAAAATGATGTTAATCAATGATCCCTGTGGAAAAAAGGGACAAATAGTTTAACATCATTACAGATAGGGTGATATTTCTTTGTTGATATCCCCCTATGATCCCTGTATGGAAGGGGATGGTAGTTTAACATCATTCTGGATGTGGCAATATCTCCTGTAATTGAGATATCACCACATGATTCCTATGCTAAAAGGGACAATAGTTTAGTATCATTGCAGATGTGTTTTGATGCAAATATTGCAGCAAAACAATGCCTATTTTAACATCTTCTTAGACATTATTGTCACTGGAGTAATTCCAGCTCTAATATGATCCCTGGGACTGAAGGACAGTAGTTTAACGTCATTTTGGATGCTTGATTGGCAAAATAGATATTAAGAATGAATGGCCAGTTCTGTCGTTTTTTCTGCAATGTGAGCCAAAGGGAGTCATATGATCTAGCCCTTCCTAACTAGATACTTGACTTGAGGCACATGTCCTAGTTGCCTTCTAACTAGGTCTTGGAGTGGAATTTCTTGTACTTCAACTCTGAGACTAGACTGGGCATGTCATGAAGAGATACATGCTCTTTTATGTCCCCAGACCCCTTACTTAGATTTGAACCAAGATGACCCAATATTCTTTTACCAAAAAGCAAGTGAATATCAAAGCACTTCAACCACTTATAGGCAGGATTTTGTGACATGGGTCCCCTGAAGACCTGCACTTCACCAAAATACAACCACACTCCATGGGTCAATGGTAGTTTAAGGTCATCTCAGATGGGGATAGTTTACCATTGTTTTGGACATGACTAGTTTCATGTTATTGTGGACACCTAGTAGTTTATAGTTATTGCAGACCAAGCCTTTGGTAGTTTTATATTGTTCCAGATGTTTGTTTATGGCCTTGCATTGCTGTTAAGGGCAAGTGCTTTAGTAGAGGTAGCCTGGACTCTACTATCTCATGCATTAGCAGGTAGGATCCCCTAATACAGAAATGATCCTGTAAAACTAGAGATCCAAAGTGGGATATCTAAACACTAGTCAGACCTTGACTATGAGGGTCACTTTACCAAGTTATGCATCATAATTATCTTAGTCTTGGACTTTTGCACCAGTTATGTATGAGCATCTTTGTTGTACCAAAATAAAGAGCTGGCTTATTGACACCTAATACATAGTAGTCATGGAGGGTTCCCTAATGTGGAAAAAACCCTGTAAAACTGAGGATCCAAATAGGACACTCGATGCATCTGTCAGATTAACTTCTTGACAGCAAGGATATGAAAATTCCACACATATGTTGCCACATGAAATGTGCCTGCTTATATGCCATATTCTACCATCATTAGAACATGGGCTTGTGGTTGGGTACTTCCCCTGCCTTCTTGTCTTTTCATAGTTTTAAAACATGCAGGTCCAATAGTTTAAACATCATTCTGGACATGAGGTAGTTTAACATTGCTTTTGGATAAGAGTGTATATTTGAACATTATAAGGGATGAACCTAGTTTTACATTGTTACAGATGAACTAGTTTTAGGTTATTTTGGACCCATAATCCTGTGGATTATTGTTCTTTGACAAGGAGTTCCTCAACTTCCTTACCCTCTTTCTCACTTGCTAGTGTTTATTATTAATTGTACCCTTAACATCCATCCCCTTCTTAGTCAGGTTGGCAATAAGGGTCTGCCTTGTCATAATTTCCAGGATCGTCTAAAACATCCCAGGCATTGAGTTTGGACTAAGTCCAGAAGCAATCTCTTTGAGCCTCTAAATTAGCATGGTAAGCTTAGCAGCTGCTTCAGCTATTTTGTTCCTTGTCTGTATAAAGTCAATGATTAGCAGTAGGCATTCTATCCTAGTGTTGAATACCCTTGCTAGCATGTATTCTATGTTGGAGGGTTGCCTGGGTTCCCCAGTTTCTTCTGCCTTCATTTTTTGTATAAATAGGTTCCTCCTTGTTGGTATTCCATGTGGCAGGGAGAACATCTCATATTCTATGATAAGGGGTCATGAGATTGCCATCTGACATATGAACCTCTCATTGTTGTAGAGGAGGTTAATCTATGACTATGTATGGAACCCCTCTAAGATTTAGTGTAGGCATGGGATATTCTCTATGGTGCAGGGGTACATTCTAGGTAACAATGCGAAAGGGATCAGTTCTAACTGGTTGGACATCCCTAAGCTCCCCTGAGAAGAGGAAAGTGAGAAGGAGCTCTTAGTTGACATACTGGGTAAACTCATTAGGGTGGATGAGGAAAGCTTGTGGCCTTCTGTTGTTGTCTTTGTACTATGACACAGTATTGGGATTAGTTTGGAGAGCAAGTTGTCTAATATGTTGACTTGCACTAGCCAGTCATTGTGGTACATTATTGATTTCATTTCCTGATTGTCCTGCCAAGAAGTGAGTGAGATGTTGGAGTGCTATGGTGTTTTGCTATAGGAGAGTGTCTGTGTGTTGTTCCAGTTTTCCAGGTAGTTCCTCCCATGGTGCCAGAAGTTTGTCTATCAACTAATACTGGTGGTTGTGTAACTCTTAGTAGAATTGGAAGTGGTTTAACTGCTCCATGGCCTGGTTATTGATCTCTACCTTGTGCATATAGTCCCTGGGGACCTCCAGCTCTAGGAGTCATTGTGACTCTAATAGGAGGTGGAATTTGAGTTGTAGATTTGCTAGGATTGCTATTGCTTCTGTCATTAGCACCCTCATTCTGTGGTGCATCTCAAGAGTTCCTCCTAGGCAACTGCTTATTATTGTGGGTCCTCTCTTATTTCTTAAACTTTGCATAGTCCTCAGCATCATTATCTGAGAAGTTTTAAGGCTTTGGGTGAGGATAGTAACAGCGGTGTTGGGCTCTGGTAGTATTAGGCTTGTCTCCCTATCAATTCATTTAATATCCAGGTTAGCAACCATAAGAATGACATCAAGGGAGGAGTTTCTCAAGGGAGACAAGGCAGTAGTGCCATTGTGGAGGAGCATCAATGTGCTGAGGATAGAAATGAAGAATGTGGAGATACTTGGTATAAGACATTTGCATTGCCCTTTTTATACCTTTATGATCAGAGTGATATGAGATGAGGTTTATTAGGATATTAGTTATGGAAATCCCTCAGGGCTTCTTCTGCTGTTTTTTTAGGAAAGCTTAGGGTTCCCAAGTATTGTTAGCTTTGGGATATCCCTTCCATTTGACCAAGTATTTGGTTTCCTGTCCTTTGATCTTGAGTACAGGATCATCTCCACTTTTTGATATTCTTCATCATTCAAAGCGGTGGTCTTATGAAGTTTTTCCTGTGCGCTTCTGTTTCCCTATATTTAGTGAGCATAGTGGCATGAAAAATGAGATGGATTTTCTAATGTTGGGGAATTTGCAGTTTATATGCTAGGGATCTGACCTTGGCTATGATCTATGATCTTGAAGGGGCCATATCTCCTAGGGGTGAGCTTGAACTTGGGATGCATCATCCAGATATGGGTTCCTTCTAACCATACTTGGTCTCCTTCCTCCTATTAGGAAAGTTTCTTGTTGAGATCCTGGTCCTTGGTGTATTGGCTTACCAATTGTAGGCTAGCCACGGCTTCTTTCTGAGCTTTGGTGATTGTTTGTATATGTTCAGCTACTATAGGTATCTTTGTTTCTAGCATTGTATTTGCTTGATAATGGAGGTTGAAACCATAGAGTACTTTAAATAGTGATTTCCTGGTGGCAAAGTGTTTTCATGTATTATGTGATAATTCAGCAAATGGCAGAAGGTCTATCCAATTGTCCTAGTAGTAGTTGCAGAACATTCTTAGGAACTGTTTAATTTCCTGGTTAACTCATTCTGTTTTTCTATCTGTTTGGGGATAGTATGCTATGTTGAGAGCAGCAGTGATGCCTAGCCACTTCCATAGTTCTCATGTGAATTTTGCCACAAATTAAGGGCCATGATCAGACACTATTTTGGTTGGTAATCTATATTGATTGAAAATGTTGTTTTGGAAGAGTGTAGTCATTTCTTCCACCATAATAATTTTCTTGCATAAAGTGATGACTATGCCTTTTGACAGTCCTTGATCTACCACCACATTAATCAAGTCAAACCTCTTGCTCTTGGGCAGGTTAGTGACGAAATCTGTCAAGATGAATTACCAAGGGACATTAGTGGTTTCCAGGGAATGGATAGGTGGTCATGTCCTATATGTCAGGTTCTTTGTAGATTGGCATATAGTACATTCATCCACATAATTGTGGATGAACTTAGTTATGTTCTGCCAGTAGTCTTGTTGTACCAATTATAAGGTTTTGGCTCTGGCTAGATGCCCTATGGCTAGTATATTGTGGTGTGTTTTGATAATGAGCCTTTGGATAGAGTTGTCTTTGGGAATGCATATGCAACCATTTCACCTGGTGATTCCACCTTTGCGTCTATTTTCCTAGGTCTTCTTTCATTGCTTGTGGGCCTTTTTATAGTAGTTTAGTGAGGGCCATATCTACTAAAATGTCGTGCTCTAAGCATGAGTGTCAAATGAAGGAGATGAGGTCCAAGGATATTTCTGTGGATTTTACATGCACAGTTTGGTCTGGTTCTACCTCAATTTTGCTTAACTTGTTGAAAAGTTTGGCTAGAAGTAAGATTTGGGCTTTATTGTCAGATTCCATCCTCTCACTTAGATCTAGATGCCTGAACAGAGCATTTGAGTGGTTTGTAGATCCTGTGTTATAGCTGAGGGTAAAGTTGAATCTGCTCAAATAAAGGCTCCAGCAGGCATGTCTTTGTGACAGATCATGGGCCATTTGGAAATGTTCTAGGTTTTTATGGTCTGTCCAGATCTCAAAGGGGTATTATGCTTCTTTGAGGTAGTGGTTCCAGTGTTCCAAAGCTTTTACAATGGCCAATAGTTCATGGTTATAGACATCATAGTTTCATTCTGCTAGGGATAATAAACCAGAAATGAATGCCACTGGGTGCCAGTCACCATCCTTGCCTTCTTGTAGGAGTGTAGCTCTATAGGCAATTAATGATGCATTTGTTAAAGTCTGTAGGGATGTATTGGATTGGGATAGTTTAAGATGGGTTGGCTAATGAAGGTTTTCTTTAGACATTCAAAGGCTTCTTGGCATTTGTCAGTCCAATTTTATTTTTTGTCCTTCTTAATGAGGTTATGTAATGGGTAAGCAATAAGTGAAAATTTATCGATAAATCACCTGTAAAAATTTCCTAAACCTAAGAAAGAGCAAATGTCTTGAACCATACATATGATTGGCCAATCCTTTTTTGTGTCCACTTTAGAGTTTTTTATGGTGATGTAGTCTTTTGAAATTGTGTACCCCAGGTAGTTAAGTTTTTCCTTATAAAACTCATGTTTCTCTGGTTTTATGTAAAGGTCATTGTCACATAGGATCTGAAAGACTTGATAGAAGATGTGGATGTGTTCTGCCATAGATTTGGAAAAAATGAGGATGTCATCCATGTATATGGTTATTTTGTGAGCTATGATGAGTTTTTGGAAAATCATATTTATCATGGCTTGGAAAGTCACTAAGGAGTTGGTTAAGCCAAAAAACACTACCATCGGTTTGTATGATCCTAAGAGGGTAATGAATGCAGCTTTCCACTTGTCTCCTTCCTTAATGCATATGTTGTTGTACTCCTAGTTTATTGTGCTTCTCAAGGCTCAAGGCATATATTTTGGGCATTTGAGGTTTGAGTGTAGGTTTCAGGTCAATAGCATGGTCCCAGAAGGTGTGTTCTAGAAGTCGCTGTGATTTTCATTTACTGAAAATGTTCAAGTACTTATGATACGCCTTAAGGACCCTTTTCTTCAGGCTGGTGACAATGATTTTTTCTTCCAGGTCTTGGTCAAAGCTGGAAAACCCTGATAGTTCTAGGGCCAATTTCTGAATAATAGGTTCCTCTGTGGCAACCATGCCTAAGGTTTTGTTTGGGAGGTCAGGTTCTCCTGTATTTAGTGAAGGAGATGGCTCAAAATTTGTTTGAGCATGTTGTTTCTTCTGTCCTGTGTATTTCTTCATGTTCTGTAGGAGCCATTTCCTCTTAAGGTAGGCTTGCAATTAGACGCCAAATATTCTGCTATCATTGCAAAGTCCAATATCCTCCAATATTCTTCAAAGGTATTTGAGGCACTGTTTTTCATGCTTATTAATCTGCGGCTTGTGGCACAATTCCATATATGCTAGCCAACTGCTTCTAGATGGCTTTTCCCTTGCCCTAGTAAACCTGTGTAGTTGGTGGCAATTCTGGGGACACCAATTAAAGTGCACTTTATGTTACCTTCATTCAATAGAGGGATTGTGGTATTTTAGCCAATCTGTTCCTAGAATAAGGTCATCTTTCCCTAGATTGGAAATGAACATTTGAACGCATTCCATGTGTGTTCATCTATGGATATCCCAAATTTTGAGGTTCACATCTAGTGCTGAATAGATGAGACCTGCCTGGTTAATGGTATCATTGACATTATGAATGCAAATAGGGTGATTGAGCGAGTATATGGGGAAGCAGTGTTTCTTGACCCATACTTTGTTCACTATAATCCCTTTACATGCCAAGTCAATTGTTGCTTTTGCTCTAGCATAATGGATCCAGTTTGAGACTATCATGTTCAAGCAAATAGGGTTAATAATGCGACTGTCCATTCCTCCAATATGAATACACTTGGCTATTTCAAAATCAGGCCTCACTTGACCTCTCTTCTTTGCTGGTGAGGGAGAGGTCAGGCAAATTGCTCCACAAATCCCAACACAATTTCTCTTTGCTTATCTACTCTTAATTCTCCAAGGACCACTCTAATTCAAGCAGTATGACTGATGCCTCTGTTTTCTTGTTGTCCATCAGGTGATATGATATGTTGCTAATGGTTTGGTGAGGGTCATTGAGATGAGGAAGGGTACAGACATTCCATCAGATGACCAGGTTGTGGTACTTGCTGGTCATCGTGATGAGCATCCCTCATCTCTATTCCTTGATGTATTCCTGCTTGGTTTCCTAGAGCAGGTGCATTGTCTTCTCCTTCAATATCAACTGTGAAGTTTCTTCTCCCTGTCTTTCCCATGCATCTCTTTGAGTTTCCTTGAATTGGTTGAATGCCTCTGTGTGGTGATTAATAGTCAACATTATAGTGCCCTAGCCTCTTGCAAAGGAAACATGAGACGAGTTGCTTGCCATCATATTTCCTTTTCTAGCTTTTGGCACCTCATTTCCTTGTGGCATTAATGTCCATATTAATGACTTGGTTATTCATTCTACGAAGAGTATTTGCGGAGTTGTAGCGGAAGGCAGGTTGGATATAAAAACAATTCAAGAAATCACTTCAAAAGAAGGTGGAGTTGGCAAGGATGGCCTTTTAAGCACTTCTTGCCCTAAGCTGTCCATCTATTTTATAGGCTGTGTTAATCCAGTCTTGGATATTGTCCTTTAGCTGAACTTCCTTGCCATAGATTTTGTCCATAATACATGGGTCTAGCCCATGTTAGAAGTAGGGGACTTGCTCCTTTTTGGAGATGTCAGTGATATGCTAGAGGTGGCTCTGAGTGCTGAGCACAACACCAAAACAACCTCTAATGCAGGGGTGCTGGGGCTAGTATTTGATACACAAGGAATTGTTAGTTAGGACTTGAGAAAATGAGGGCACACTGAAGAGTAATAAGAAGGGTGAGATTGAAGCGCCCAAATGGTTTCGGGACTGCACCAAACACTAACTGAATATTTGGTCAGTCGAGTTAGGTCAGGGAGTCGATTGGTGATGAGAAGGTAGTGTCGCGACTAACAACTATATGCTTTAAGAGCCACACAAGACTCTGAAAATATATAAGAGAGGATAAGGGATATGAGCAAAGAGATAAGTACAAACATAAACAAGGCTGAACAACGAGGATGACAAGTTTTCAGAAATTGACAAAGATGATTTCAATGGTTGAGACGAGTGCAAATAAGCTTTGAGCTGTGAGATGCGAAAGCTGGTTTATTCCAGAATTGTATGTAGGTTTTTATAGTAAACTGAGCCCCTAAGTAAAATATTGAATACAAAATGAAAGTAGATGTCAAATGGGTGCCAAGCCCTGGCGATCAGAGAAGATAAGAAGATAGGTAAGATGTCTATATGGGTTCTAAAGGTGATAAGGCAAAAGGTAATCAGCGATGGCCAAATTCCAAATGTTTAGGATCCATCACCCAAGTGTAGGTAGCAGAAACAGTTATTGGCAAGCCAATGAAAATGAAGAAAAAGTGATGTATGATCAGGGTGGCCAAGTAATAGTGCAAGATCATGTTTGAATGACCATATGGAAGTTGGGGAGATAAGTGATAAGAACTGACCAACTCCCAGAGTACATTAGCTGACCTAGAATACTGGCTCCGATCTCATAAACACCTATCATAATACTCCTGTGCAGTCATGGTTAGTACATGAAGTGTGGGTAAACTGACCCAAGTGCTGCCGAATGCCCTTTGGTGGCTTGCAGCTGGTTGGGTAGGGACCGATCATGTTTGGTAATAGTCAGCATCTTCAGTACTCATCTAGCGTTGTTTAGTATCTCCCTAAAGCTTCCCAAATATCTCCCTCGGACCCTAGCATAGGTACATGCTCATCATTGGCAACAGCAGCAATAAGGATGAATTAGTTGGAGTACCTGTCAACTATCATCTTCTCTTGGGAGAAGGCCATAAGTGCACTTTGCATCTTGTTGGTCTTGCCTATTTCCCTAAATTGCAACTTGAACTTTGCTAAATAGTTTGCCCAGGTGCCTAGATCAGTGGGGAAGTCCACCCCCACTATTTTGAGGAGAAAATTCTCTGCCCAGGCTCCTGCCATACCATATCTTATGCATAAGAGCACAAGAAAGATTTTGTCCTGATTGGTCTTATACTGGTCAGACTCTGCTGCAAAAAAAAGGAGGCATTAGAGCATGAATTTCTTGGATTCAATGTGGTCACTTGTGTAATTGTCTGGGAGTTTGACCTTCCCTCTTCTGGGTTATACTGTCATGGAAGGGGTATTTGTAGAAGTTGATGCTTGTCCTAATATGTTGGTGAGTGGTTGGTTTTGGGTATTGGTCAGTGTTTGGTTGGGTAATGGATTAGAGTCTGGCTGATTCCTCTTATATTGATCCATCAGGGATTACCAGTGCCAGATCTCTGTATTAGGGTAGTGGATCCCAATGATTCTCTGTTCTATTCTAAGTGAACTCTTCCTCTGTCTGTCTTCATAAGAGAAGTAATAATGCCCAGTCCTGTATGAGCAGTTGTTGTAGTTCAGGGGAATATCTGTATTGGTATCTATATAAAACCAAAGGTTCCCTTGTTGTCAGATAGGGTGATTGTTATGATAGAGCTGGTTGTTTGTTCAAGTAGTGCCAGGAGGGTAGTCTTGGCCTAGGTCTTGCTCCAGGGTGTGTGCAGTAATGCTTTCTTAATAGGGGTCTCTATCCCTACTAAGTAAGGTTATAGAGAGAGTGTGGTAGCAAGCTCAGAGTATAAGCAAGGTAGGGGCAAAAGAGTCTATTCTAGTATTATAAACTGCTCATTTAGTAATCCCAAGAGTAGAAGGTTCCTCCCTAGATTGCTCATGGAAAAAGAGTAGAATGATAGTCTTGACTATATATGCAGCACAGGAGCTAGATGTGTATTGCAGTGATGGCAATAAGAACAAAGACTGTAGTATAAAGGTTGCAGTAAAATGAGGAGTGCAGTAGGGAGACTACATGATACAAAGAGAATAGACTAAAGAACCTTAGCCTATTCTATAGGCATTTTATACTACTTTAGAAAAGGGCATAAGAATCCCATATATGTATACCATAGGTATTTTCCAAGTCATTACTCTCTCCAAAAACGACTTACTCTTGCTTCTTTGCTTGTTTCCTTCCAACCAGGGGAACAAGGAGCTCCATACCCATGTGTGAGTAGTATGTAAGGCAGGAGGGAATGCCTGCTACAACAGGCTTGTAATACTCGACCAGTGATGGTGATATGCTAGTGATGCCTCTGAGTGCAAAACACACCCAAGAAACACCTCTACAAGTGCAGGTAGGCAAGATCTGGTTCTAGTGTGCAAGGAACTATAAGCTGTGCAACAACCAACAAAGGAGCATACTGAAAGTGTTTGGAGTGTAGCAAACAAACAACCCCAAAATTGAAATATTTGGCCAGTTAGTCAGTCAGTTGGTTGGTTCGCTAGTAGGTTGGTAGGTCGGTTGGTAGGGATTTGATTGGGATTTGATTGGGATTTGATTGGGATTTGATTAGGATTTGATTGGGACACAAAGGGGAGGGAATGGGTACAATGCCACACTGGACACTGGCTGAGGTTGACAAACTAGATAAGAGGGCAAAAGCAAGACAATGAGGGCTCTGACGGAGGACTGCGATCAAATGCAACAATACAAACAAAGGGGCAAAATGCGAACAAGGGTTGGAAGGCAATAGCTCAAAGCCTTATGGACACAAGCGCACAAATAGAATTGAAATGAGAGAGGAGCCAAAGCTGATGTATTGTGAGGCCATAGGTGCCCTTTGATAGTAAGTCTGAACAGGTACAAGATAGGGAGATCGGCAGAGGCATAGAGCAATTAGAAATGTGTGCCAAGAGCAATCAAAGGTAAAGAAGATAAGGGAGTGATGTTGCAAACACAGATAAGAAGCAATAACTCTAAAGTCTAAATAAGTGGAGAGATTGCCAAGGTGAGTCCACATGGACCTGGAGATAAGAGCCACATGCCATATGGGTAAACCATTTAGAAACTTGGGAGCTCTAAAGATAACAAAGGATAGGTCAAGAGAAGGCATAAGGACAATAAGAGATAGAAAGACAGATCCATTCCGAGTCAACAAAGTGTTTGGCCACCTCCGATTTGGGATACCAAAGCCGACTAAATGTGCCGACCATGTGAAGCATACCGAACCAATCGGCAATTGGCCGTGACAGTCTGCAGGGAGCCCCTACTACTAAGAATGATAATAGATAGATAGGATAACTGTGAACAGCTCCAAAAAACTGTGCGAAGGTCTAAATGGAAAGTCAGCATCTGACAAATGACTGAGATTGCCGAACAGATTGGGATCAGTTGGTTCTAAGTATGCTGAACAGATTGGGATCAGTCAGTCCTAAGTATGCCAAACAGTCAAAGAATACTAAAAAGCTATGAAAAGTGGGGTATTGGTGCCTAGAGAGCACCCATGCTTATCAATGGGTGGTCCACTGGGAGTGGATGACCAAAGATATTATCTGTACCTTAGTGTATACCTCAGAGTGTAAGGCTGCTTAGTTATTGTAATAATCGTATCAGTATAGACCGCCATAAAGGCCCAATAATTCATGATCATAATAATTAGGACTATATCAAAATATGTGCTTTACACATGATAAAGTAGGGTAGTCAGGCAGTTTACTTGTGATTATAACAAGACTTTTTCTTATTTATATACTAATATATGGACATTTACTCACACATATTCACATACTTTAGCATAAATACTTACTTATGTTTTTATTGATCATTGGCCCTAATTGGTCCCTGATTTCTGATTCTCCTTCAATATAAATAGACAATTACTATAATTAGATACATTATAGATCACAACCTACTAATCTCAATTGTTTACTCAATTACCTTGGTACCTTGATACTCATTAGTTAGATTAGCTATTAGACACATAGACTAGATCTTGATTTAGTCCTAAATAGCTTGTATATATAAATGGCCAAGATAAGTTCTAAGTAGCTTAGCTTGTTCACTTTGCATACTACTTAATTTCTGTACTATATATAGCGTCTAGCTGTTACGAACTGCTCGTTCGGTAACCCCAAGAGTAGGAGGTTCTTCCCTAGGTCACTCGTGGAGGATGTGTGGAACGATGGTCTCGACTGTACGTGTAGCACAGGAGCCAGAGATGTATTGCGGTGTAGCAATGAGGAGTACTGTAGGAAGACAGTACCAGAACGAAGGTGCTGTGGTAGGAAGACCACAACGAACGAAGAGAATAGACTGAAGAACCTCAGCCTACTCTATGGGCCTTTTATACTACTTTAGGAAATAGGGCGTGAGAATACCGTCTATGTATCCGTAGGTATTCTCTAAGTTGTCTCTCTCAATACGACTACTCTTGTGCTTCTCCGTTCGTCTCCTTCCGGCCAGGAAAGACTAGGAGTTCAATGCCCGGTGTGTGAGTAGTTTGTAAGGCGGCATTCTATGCCCGTTGCAATATGGCTCGTGATACTCGACCAACGATAAGGTGATCCGTTGGGAGTGGATGACCAAGGTTACTATCTGTACCTTGTTTGTACGCCTCACCTTGTGAGGCCGCTTGATATTTATGATGATCATGTCAGTATAGACCGCCGTTAAGGCCCGACAGAACGTGATCATAACAATACCCCCTTTCTACGTCCTATTCGCCTGGTAGGACAGCGCGTTTTGCGCTTCATCGCCACTCCATATACGATTTGCTTTCTTGATCCAAAACTGGTCTCCGGATGCGACTTCCGGGACATAACTTCGTTTTCTGGGAGGAAGACCGACTTACGTCGTTTGATCCTCTAGGAGTTTTCCATCTCCGTTGAGCTGTTTGTTTCTCGGCCATAACGCAGGGGGTTCCAAGCCCTGGGCCACTAGGATGTTCTTCCTTCACCCGTAAGGATTAATTTTGCCGCGGGTAAACCCATCGCGGTCTTACTTCCAGCCTCCTCTAGAACAGCATCAAGAAAGGCATATGAATGCGAGTGGTGTGTAGATGAATAGAAACTCTAGTATGTGGGTTCCATTTCGTGTCATCAGGTTCTTCTTCTTCCTTCTCTGAGGGCCAAACCTCAGTGTTTCCAGGATAGTCGTTCTATCCTCATGACTTGTTAGTTCCTCTCGACGACGGAGCATGCCCATGGATAAGTAGGTTGATCGCTTTATCAAGGCTTAGGCCTACTTCTCCAGGCTACCCTATCGCCGTCCCAAGCAGTATCGCTCCCATACGGTGAGCTCATCTCCGGTGAGATTGCTAGCCAAATCCCAAGCAGTATTGTCCCCATACGGTGGACTCATCTCCGGTGAGGCAGTTTACGGCGTCCAGAGTTTGTTTGTCACAAACATGGGCCTATGGTGGGGAATACCACGTGTAGTGTTGGGTTCGAGGCAAGGATGTGAAGAGAATTAGACTAGAAAGGCGCCGTGAGGAGCAAGGGGGAGTCTGACCCCTTCTCCAATTCGGCCCGTTCACATGCACGAAAAAGATCTCAAGATCACTGCTGATATATTGTTCGGGTTGCGAGATATATCCACGATAGCAGTTTAAACGTCTTGCCGGACGTTCCGTAGTTTATCGTCATTGTGGACGAAGACCTAGTTTTACGTCGTTGCGGACGCCAGTAGTTTTACATCGTTTCGGATGTAATTAAGGTGCCCTGCGCTGCCTAGTAGTTTACTTCTGGGTCATTGCGGACCTTCTTCATCATCAACATGGAATATCTGTGGGAAAAAGATGTTTCTGCACGCCGGAATTTCCATCGGTTGTGTGCATAGGGCCCTAGACCAGACTTTATCCCGCAGGTTTCCACTGAGGCATGATGGGAACGGTTTATACTATATCAA